TGCTTGGCCATCAAAGGATCAACACTTCAAACTTCACCTGAATACATGTCATCACTGGGTCCCTTGACAAGTCAGTAAACTCATTTGTATTGCAGCCAAATTAAAAAGAAAAAATTGATACTCTGCAGTGACATCCACGCTGGGGGTGTTCTACATGTATCTCTATGGTGGCATATTCAGCAGTTAACAATGAGACACACTGGACACTTTTTAAACTGACTGAAAACTCAAGAAACAGAATGGATTTAAACAGCACATTCTGAGATGAATGTGATCGGTAGAGACGCTCATGGTTCTGTTTAAGTCTTTGATTTTCAACAAAAAGGTCAGAGTGAATAACTGAAAAAATAACTGACTAATTTTATGTGAGAGACATGTTTAACAGTACCAAATCTGATCACCTGTTGTAGCTCCAACTAAGTCACTTGTTTATGGTCAGATTCTGTCAAAACAAAGCTCAGATTAAAGTCGAACTTGAGTAAGAGCGCTTCAGACAGAGCAGAGCCTAACGTTAGCTTCACATGTCCTGGGAATGTTGATGACATCAGCTGCAAAGTATCAGTAGCACTGGCAGATATTAAATAAATACAATGCATGTTCGACTACAACTGGTGCAGTGTAGATTCACCTTGATCAAGGTGAAATGCAGCTAAATGACTGGAAAACCCTCCTTAACAATGAACTTTGCCGTTGACTGGTGCATTTATTATTGACCTCAATGTTAGTTTGCAGACTATGACCTTGCAGTTCAGTCAGTTAGGGGAGTGGCAATATTTACATGTCCCAGTCTCCTGAGGGCGGCCGACCTAAGCAGCTTACTACTACACACATAACCAGCAACCTCATAGCTCTTCACACATGGTTATGAATGTATACTCACGTACTCTATGAGATTACTCAAGACAAATCTATGAAGTAATACCTTTACTCCCAAACCACTTGTGGCAAAGCACTCTCTACAATAAGTGCAACCACAATATTTAGCAATATCTTTGAGATTTTGATAGTTCTTAAAATAACAGGTAGAACACAAAGCATGTTACAAATGATAATAATTGTGGAAAATAAGTATAACAACGTGTAGTAAATGTTACTTTTGAACTTGTGGCCAACAGGCTATAGCTGTGCATCTTGGGATGGCATTATCCAGTAGACTATTACTAGGCTTACTTTTAATATTCTGTTATTTACTGATCTATGTTACCTCATCAAAAACATACCTGACTTTGTGTTTCGCTTCATTCATACATTTAATACACAAAACCTGTATATTTAGTTCTTCTCTCAAACGTTCCACCATTTGATGTCAAGTGGTAATACAGGAAGTGATCCACTGTGTTTTTAAATTCGTGTAGACAAAAGAATGATTTGGATCATTTCAACCCTGGAATTGCCACTGAACTACTGAACAAATACAGAGTAGGTGTTAATTTGAAAACTACCACTTTATGACATCACAAGGTGGAAGAGAGCACAGACAGTGTAATAACAAAGGGTCACTAAAACATGTGAATGAAACTAAACACAACTCCATGTAGGTTTTTTTTTTTTTTGGATGACATTTACAACATTTTATCATGGCTTAAAGCTCACAAGAGTTGATTTTGCCAAACACTGAACATTAAAAGTGGACAACAGAAATGGCACACAAAATTAACTAAGCATTCATCATTTTTTGCACATTTAAGTCCTGGTTGGGAGTTTAAAGCTGTGATTTTATATTTTATTTAGGGGTGGGCGATATCTTGATATTTTAAATATATATAGATATTTTTTAAACTCGATATGGATTCTGACATATCGTATATATTGATATAATGCTTATATTCAATTCTGGTTTCGCTGCTTCGCTTGTTTGCCTTCTCTTTTGTCGCACCTCTGCCTCCCTGATTTTACTGCTTGTGTCTCATTCACTCGTCACTACCACCGCGAACGCTTAAAGTTGGTGCCAGTGAAAAACTTCTAGCACCACGAACCTTTTCCACCATTTACAGACAAAACCATCAGCAGCACATCCTCTGTCACAGAGAGAACACTCATATGAACACTGAGTCCTGTCCTTTAGTCCGACAGAAGTTAAACCGCATCAGGGCACAAGAAACGCACAGTTTATGCAAATTTGTCATGCACTTTTAAGTTTCGTTTCTGTAAAGACATGTGTACAAAACTGCATTAAACACATTATAATCTCAAACGGGCTGATGTGGCTCTATAGTTGTTATGTTTTATATATTGGAAAGTTTAGTCATGTAAAGTTTATTTATGTGGAAGATTTTAATGAATAATCTGCTGCTGTGTCACTTGCACAATAGTGTTTGGAAACGTTGGATTTGATCTGCAGTGGATTGTGGGGAAACCTCACAGCTTCTTACCAAGCCCCGGGGTTCCAAAATGGTCACCCATTCAAGTCAATGGGCTGAGCTCAATGGCGCATGATTCCAGATCAGCCTAGCCCGACTAGGTACTTCCGGTGGCTGTGGCCCGACCGAGCATGCGCAAGTAGTGCGCTTTTCTCCTGCGAACGCACGCGAGAACGCACGCGAACGCACGGGCTCGTGTATCACGTGATCGCTTTGACCAATCAGAGCGAGAAGAGCTGGAGCGGAGCGTAGCCGAAGCGAATGATTATAAAGCGTTTTTAAGACAACTGAAGGAGAAAAAGTGTATGATCTAAAAATAGGTAAAAAACGCCACAAAATCCGACATTTTTGAAAGTTGTAGGTGCCCTGTCAGCCGAAAACGAGCAGTTTGTGATTACTTTGCGCTCTATGACAAAAATCTTCTCTCGGCCCATGGGATTTTTTTCTGCTGTAGTACCAGTGAGTGACCACAACATTAACTCGAGGCAGTTATTTTAATAGATCCATGGTTTGGAAACGTTGGGTTTGATCTGCAGTGGATTGTGGGAAACCTCACAGCTCCTGACGCTGGTGAGGAACATGGATCTGTTAAAATAATGAACCTCCTGAGCTTCTTCTGCTAAAGGACCTCATGGTTATTGTACGGTTAATAGTGTTAATGCAAAGATGAGCTTGAGTTGAGTTGTTTTATTTATGAATGAAAAGAAGGAAATATGTATTATTACCTCCGCCAAGGAGGTTATGTTTTTGCCGGTGTTTTGTTTGTTTGTTTGTCTGTTAGCAACATAACTCAAAAAGTTATGGACCGATTTTGATGAAATTTTCAGGATTTGTTGGAAATGTGAAAAGGAAGAACTGATTTCATTTTGGGGGTGATCCGGAAGAAATCCTGGATTCTGGATCACTTTGAAATTTTAGTTAACATTGTGGTAAATGGGGCCAAAAATGTTGGGATCCTCTTTCATATTCCAAAGGCTGATCCGGATCTGATCCAGAAGACTGATTTTATCGCAATTTATATAAAAAATGGGGGTAGTCCTTGGCGGAGGTCTGTGCTCTCTGAGTGCTTTTCTAGTTTCTTTTATTTTACAGTTAAATTATTATTTATGTAATTAGGGATTTTTTGTAATCTTAAATGTGGCAGAAGCACCGTCTACCACTGGCACTTCAATAAAAAAAAGACATTGTGGAATTTGGCATATTTGATACATACAGATATTGAGATATATATCGTATATCGAGATATAGCAAAATATATCGATATATTTTTTGCTCCATATTGCCTAACCCTAATTTTATTTTGACTTGCACATACTGTATACAGTTATTTAATTGTGTCTTATTTGACACCCGCCTTTTGCCATCTTTTTTCCTACTTATTTAGAATTGATTATTACCGTTTCTATTTTTTTTCTCTTTTTGATTACATTATATTGTGATGTGCAAGCTACTGTGTCCAAATCATTTCCCTTGTGGATCAATAAAGTTTGTCTAAGTTCTGAACAGCGATAGCCTGTGTCCATAGCAAGATTACAAGGCTGTATACAATTACAGAGCTACAAGTTGGGCACACTTCAACAACATACATGGAAAGATGCTGAAATTAATAGCTATTTAAAAGAATTTATTCATGCCCTAGACAGACAGCAGCAAAAGGTTATTCATTAGGCAACTACTAATCTTGAAAATGTTCTGAGCACACATAAATACAGCTTGTAGTTGTATGCGGCGATAGCAACAGTGGAGGGGTTAAAAGGACGTTCCTTGTCGGACTGTCATTGCCCAATTTGAGTCGCTGCCCGATTTGCCTCAAAAAGTGCACTACACATGCGTGAAACACTCTGCCATGTTGGATATGGCTACTACGCTCGGACAAACATCATAAAGTCACTGCAAAAAACGTATAATCTAGGTATGAGTGATTTGCATTTTGCCTTAAAATGGTTGCAATGACTAAAGCAGCCATGCAAAGAAACGTGGTAAACAAAAGTAGCAGGATAATGCTAATGTCCAGGCTACCCATTAGGTCACCCAGGGACGCACGTTTTAAACAGTACCGTTTCGACAGAATAATGAAGTACACCTCCGTTACATTATCACAAGGGAAAAGATGCTATTGTGATTGCAAATGTATGTTGAAGAAAGCAGCAGGTCTGGCGCGAATCGGGTAATGACACGGGCCTCAGACCTTCACGTTAGCCACTTAGCCGGTGCTGCCTAACTATATAAAAAAATAAACAAGTAAATGCCCACAGATGCCTGCATTCACTCGCAAACTGACATTCCTGATTACCAGTAGCTGTAGTAAATTGTTGGTGGAGATTTGCTTTACGCGTGGTTAGTAAGTTACACAACGTCACTAGGGTTAGCTAAAGTTGGATGTATGGGCTTACGGTTCAATGACATGGCTTTGCTGCACGAAGCCAAGAGCACGGCATATCGTCAAGTGTTAACAGCGTGAAATGGCAGTGCTACAGTGTGGGTTAAGTATAAGTATTATAAGATGTGAGGACAGAAATTCAATGTTTGAATGAAGTCACGCCGTGTACCCATGTTGCTGCTACACACTAGCACGATGTGTATTCTCTCTGCTCTGTGCAAAATGCAGCACTTTTTACGCACAGGTATCAGATCACTTACGGGGTTTTAAGGTCCTCGGCGCCGCCACGATGAAAGCAACAGTGAAATAATATCAATACGCAAGTTTTTCAATCCGTGTCCCCGTAGAAACTGTGGAAAGTCACTCTCCTTCCCACGTGCTGACCGACTAGCATCAATTCTTAAAAAAACAGACCAAACAGCTGAGCAAACCTCGCGAGATGTGTCTAACAGAAACTATTTAAAGGTCTCGCGTGAACTGCAGCTACATACTTTTAACATATACTGGAGGAGTTACCGCGCCGTCTTCTCTACAATGTTTTATTAGACTTTAAATCCTGAAAAAAAGAGTAAGATTAAGATTAAGATTACAAACCAGATTCACGCAATTGCATTCGATTTAATTATTAATCCATTATCTTATCTATTAACCTAAAAGGCGTAGGTTAAAAAAAATTCTCAAACCGAACAAAACTACTATATATATATATATATATATATATATATATATATATATATATATATATATATATATATATATATATATATATATATATATATATATATATATATATATATATAGGACTAGTGAGTGTGGGAACCACTGTCCAGGATGAAACATCCAAGCTCCTTGAATACATCAAGGACAAGGCCCCGGCAGATGAGGTGCTCAGAGAATGTCTCAGACAGTGGGGTCCAGAGGAAGAGGTGCTGGAGGGACCATCATGGCAGGACAAACCCCTACATGGGGCGAACCACCGGAACATAACTGAAGTGGCTGATATCAAGAAATCCTACCAATGGCTTGAGAGGGCTGGTCTGAAGGACAGCACAGAGGCACTGATCCTGGCTGCTCAGGAGCTGGCCCTGGGCACTCGAGCAATAGAGGCCCAGATCTACCACACCAGACAAGACCCACGGTGTAGACTGTGCAAAGAGGCTCCTGAGACAGTCCAGCACATAACTGCAGGGTGTAAGATGCTGGCAGGGAAAGCATACATGGAGCGACATAACCAAGTGGCGGGCATAGTGTACAGAAACATCTGTGCAGAGTACGGGCTGGAAACCCCAGGATCAAGGTGGGAAACACCTCCAAAGGTTGTGGAGAATGACCGAGCCAAGATCCTGTGGGACTTCCAGATACAGACTGACAGAATGGTGATGGCGAACCAACCAGACATAGTGGTGGTGGACAAGAAACAGAGCAGAGCCGTGGTGGTTGACATCGCAATACCAAGCGATGGTAATATCAGGAAAAAGGAACACGAGAAGCTAGAGAAATACCAGGGGCTCAAGGAAGAGCTGGAGAGAGCCTGGAAAGTAAAGGCATCAGTGGTGCCTGTGGTGATCGGACACTCGGGGCTGTAACCCCCAAACTGGAAGAGTGGCTACAACAGATACCGGGAAAAACAATGGACATCTCAGTCCAGAAAAGTGCAGTACTGGGAACAGCAAAGATACTGCGCAGAACTCTCAAGCTCCCAGGCCTCTGGTAGACGACCCGAGCTCAATGAGGGTGAGAGACCAACCACCGTGGAAGGTGAGAAACACATTATATTTTTTATATATATATATATATATATATATATATATATATATATATATATATATATATATATATATATATATATTTATTTATTTATTTATTTATATATATATAACGTCATGTTTTACTGCCGATGATGTATCTCTTAGTAAATATTTTAATTCAATCAGTCAAAAAAAAAGCGGAACATTGTTCTCGTATCAGAAAATTATTCTTTCTTTCTTTTTTTTTTTTTCCTAACCAACTCACCCATTTTTCACCCACTGAACAATGACAAAAAGTCCTGAAATTTTGCCATCTGGTAAAACGTCCGCTTCTCTGACTTTTGGCTATTTCCATTTTCCACAAATAAGTAAAATGGCTCGTCAGCGCCACCAAACGACTCAAAAATGCATTAGGGAATACGAATGACACACACAAAAACGTTGCATGTACAATCATAAAATTTGATACAGAAGTCGATCATGTCAAGACAAGGAAAAAATATTATTACGGCAACACCGAGCGCTCCACTAGGGGGCAGCAATATTGGCTTGAATTTTGGTATGCTTTTACGAATTCCTCTGAACGAGCTCAAATTTGGTCCACATTATCTCAAGAGGTGGAACATCAAAAGTTATCCAAATTGTTCACACACGTCTTACAGTCTCTGAACAGTGTAGTTACAAAAAACGCACACAATTTTGGAGATTTACAAATTGCTCCCATTCACTCAAACGAACTCTGATTTCAATGAAATTTGAAACATTTGTTAAACTCTCTGCCCTGAAGCTACTTAATGTGAAAATTATGAATTTGGCGCATTAGCGCCCCCTATAGATTGAAACAAAATTTAATTTGGGAGAAAATCATTTCCTCCCAAATAGTTGTTCAAAAATTTTAGAAAGTTTGCACAAAATTCCATTTTGGCATCCTGATCCAAAATTCAATGACACCCATGTCATATTTTTTATGGCGTTGCCATAGCGATGGACATAAACTCTCTATTGGTAAAATCTACAAGTTCTGGCATAAACTTTGGCTGATTTCACTCAAATTTTAATCGCGGGTTCACACCCCGACCCTGAACAGATTTATATAAGAAAATCTCAAAATGACGCAATAGCGCCCCCTAAGGAAATTTCGTGGTAGTGCAAAAAATTACTTTGTCGTAGACATATAAAATTTGGTACACAGATTCATGACATGGTCTCGATCAAAAAAATCATTGACGACCCCATGCCATTTCCCATCATGTTGCCATGGCGACAGGCCAAATATTTGCCCTCGCCAATAGGACGTCCAACAAAAACTTTGGCGTAGCCAAACCAAATTTGGTACACAGCTGCATCATGGGTATAGGAACAAAAAAGTATATTACGGGGTTGCTAGACAACCAACAGGAATTTGACCATATTGGATTGATCGTGCAACCTGGCGTCGAAGGTGCAATTTCTTCTCCTCGTACTTGAACAAACACGTCCTAGGGCGTTTGACCCAGACTCACCAGAATCATTCTGTACAAGTGCGACATTAAAAGTTGTTAAAAGCTTTTTAAAAGGTCAAACGGTGTTGCCGTGGCAATGGTGCAAATTTCGGGTTCGTTTTTGGGGCTCACCATCCAACTTCGACGCCTGATAATTTGCACAAACTTTGGCCGATTTCACTCAAACTTTAATCATTGGTGGACAACCTGACTCTGTTTGTATGTGTGTGTGTTTGTATGTGTGTGTGTGTTTGAGTGTGTGTGTGTGTGTGTGAGTGTGTGTTTGTATGCATGTGTGTGCTTGTGTGTGTGTTTATATATGTGTGTTTGTGTGTGTGTTTATATATGTGTGTGTGTGTGTGTTTTATGTGTGTGTTTGTGTGTGTGTGTGTGTGTTTTATATGTGTGTTTGTGTGTGTTTATATGTGTGTGTTTGTGTGTGTGTGTGTTGAGCAGCATGGGTGTAAACACAGTAATGCAAATATTGCATTACAACCTTAAAACACATAAGACACACACTCTTCCACTGATGTCACAGTGAACAAACATCAGGCTGTAAAATGATTTTTACTCTGCAAAATCTTGTAGCTCCTTTCCTTGTTGCCTCTTCAAGGAGCCATTTACTTATGGGATACCAGGATACTTGTAACTGTCCTCAACATCTGCTATAGTTCCCTCTACAGGCAGCAGCTGGTTAGTTCAACTGGTAAGGCACTGGACTTTCACATGGGCAACCTGGGCTTAAATCTTCCTTCTGTCTCAGATTTCATGTGTTTTTAACTACAACATATAATTAAAGAATACAAACATTACATGGAACACACAAAGAAAATGTAGTTTATCATGCACATTACCTGTAAATGTCATGCAAAATGTTCACTTTATCTTTACTAGTTTTTCATAATATAGTTGTTTGAGAAAAATGTAAAAGGGGGACACTTTCAGGAGTAAACCACATGACACATATGAACCTTATATAAAGATTTACTACAAAGACAGTGGTAAATTCTTATATTTTTTTCCTGTTTTTTTCCATATGGGACAGCAACATTAGTAACACTTTGACACTCTCGCCTTTTTGGTTGAAAATTAAACACCTCGTTTGATCACAGGCTCTTGAAATGAGATGTTTAAACCCATTTTGTCTCATGTATGATCCTGATTAGCAAAAGGGTTTTTTTTCAAAATGATTCATTTTGTATTTTTAAACCAAATATAAAAAAAGTGTATGTATTATTAAACGTTCTGTAGTTGGGTATTACAAAAAAGAGACAGGAAGTCTGAAACAGATCAAGCTGCACCATACAGCTCCAGCATTTTGAGCTATAAGACATTTTAATAATTGTAATCATATAAATAAAGCAGTGACTTTTTCAAAGCAGAGTTTTGTACATAGTTACCATTTTTCCTGTTGATTTTAGTGGTGCAGATATTGGCTCAATTCTAAAGCTCAGTATGCAGAAAGTACAACAAAATACATGCTTAAAATAAATATAATATTCCCATATTATTTTCACATACATGTGGCAGATACACCCGTCAACCAAAACATTATGACCATTGAGAACAGAATCATTTGGCCCAAAAAATTTGACTTGATTTGACTTTCAAATTGTGAATTCTTGCGGTCTGGGATAGCTTCTGACGCTGGATGCCACAAACTCCAAGCTGTTAAACAAGTGCAAGCTATCACCAAAACTAAAGGTATTACGAATCCTGAGAGTTCGGCGATGATTAATAGTGCCCAAGCAGCTGATGGGTTAAAGGGATAGTTCGGGTTTTTTGACATGAATCTGTATGGCATCCCCATGAGCAGTGTCGTGCATCAACATTGACTTACCCCCGACAGCGTCCAGTGAGCCTAGATACTGGCCGTTTTTGGTGCTGACGAAAGTAGTCTGGCAAGTTGGCTGGGGACATTAAAATAAAGCGTTTTTCTTCTCAAAACAATCTGTGTTCAAAAGAGTGATACATTTGCATCACAAAACCATCACCCTCAAAAAAGTTAGACCTCATAAGCGCTTGGCACTATTTTCTCTCCGTTCTTATCACTGCGCGCGGCCGCCAGGTGACAGCCGCACCTGGTCCACTTTGTTTACTGCTCGGAATGTTAGCGACAACGTGTCTGATTATGACACAGACAATAAAGACTTTGCCTTTACCACAAAGCCAAGG